TAAAATAAGCTTTATTTCAGACGTCCTTATGTTCACTAAATGACGTCTCGTCTTATTTGGAGAAAATTTTTATCTAACTTTAAATGTCTCTTTATGATAATTTTAAATTTTTAGTAATTTATTTTTTGATTGTCTGTCTGTCAGCATTGCATAAGGATGAATGCTGCTGTCAACACTCTATAGTCAGGACACAAAATTCATTTATTTCTTATTTCCAAAAGCCGAAGCGAAAGGAAAAAACCAGAAAGGCCAACTTACTTTATTTAATAATATGAAATATAATGTTTAAAGATTAGATAGATTAGATTAGATAAATTACAATTAACCTCTATGATTAGACAAATTAACAATAATTCTCGTCTGTCCCTCTGTCTAAAGTAAAATTAATTGTGTGATTGTCTATTATGTCATTTACTTATGGTCAATTTGTTGGCGCCAAGTTTATTGGATTTCAGTTAGGTTAAAAACGCAGAACCCCGGCACGGGGCCGGCACTTTGGCGTGACTGGTATTCTGAACTTGTACTTTGTACTTGTCTTGTTTCATGTGATTTGTTGATGGGCTGTTAGTTCATTATTATACAAAACTTTTCACACAAAGGTAAGTACCACTTATTTATACATTGTATTTATAGTTGTACCTAGCTTTTCTATTGTAGTCTGGGATAAATAGTGGAACGCTTATAGGTAATAGTGTGTGGTCTATTCAGAACCATGTGCCGAGACAATATTTGTATGTAGGTAGGTATATACTGTCTTTTGCGCCCCAACTTTCTTTTTAAAAACAAGATCTGGCTGCTTTGGAGACACAGAAGTAACCCAACTTTTGAAGAACAAAAAGCATAATTTTATTATAAAAGAATTGAACATTGGTTTTTAATTGGGAAAGTTATATAAGCAGTATTACTTTCCGATTATCAGGTGTGACACTGTGATATACTTGTAATGTATCAGGTGATACAGTTAGACAAACTTGCGGGCAGTACCCTGGCAGTGATCAACCAGAACTGGCTTCCACCACCAGTACCTCTTGCTTGAGGCAAGAGGTACTGTGACCTCTGATTAAGGGGAGAAAAGCGTTTAGAAACGCTCTTACTGACGAAGTCCAAGCTGACAGCAATTGGAGGCCTTTTGGAATAAAAAAAGTTTTCTTTCGAACGGGTTCGTAAGAATAGTAGTTTTTTTATCTGTCCTCTGGTTTTTATTAATATTTTTGTGGCTGGTCAGAACTGCTTTTAATTAATTAAAGTTGTAACCATCTTTGCTTGCTTGCTTCCTGTCAATAAATACGATTTAAGTTTCTATATTGTCTTATTGTAACCAAAACATTTCCTCAATATAAAGTAATTGTACTGGCCATGTACAGACCTAAAACCGACGTTTAACTGACGTCAATAAGCAGACGTCTAGCCGACGTCAATAAACAGACGTCTGGCAGATGTGTCATGTAGCGGTCATTTGGACGTCCAAATGACCAGCTATCTGACGTCTTCTGGCCGAATCTCATGTCGTCGTTTAGACGTCCATAAGACGTAGTGTGCTACCTGGTGTAGTGCCCTTCATTTCTGTCACCTCAAAACAAACTTCTCTTCTACACCTCCACCATAAGGCCCATACTGACTTACGGCTCCTTTATCTGGCACTCTGTCTGTGATTCCACGAGACGGAGTGTTCAAAGGACGCAAAATAGGTTCCTGAGAGGCGTCCATCGACTGACAGATACGCCAGGATAACCGAAATGTACGAAGCTACAGGGATGGCCTATATAGCCGACTATATAGATACCATCGCTGCTAAATTTTATCATAGCGGAGTGCAAGGCTCAGTCCTTACTCGAAATTTCACCCAAGTTAGAGCAAACGATCGTCCAACCCATGGTCCCCTGTATAAGCGACTTCCCATATATTATGAGAATTTTGTCCCTGACAGTACGTGACGACAAACAAACATTGCCTACCAGATGCAGGCAGTCGTTTCCAGTTGGCTGGAAACGCACAGGTCCAACATAACGTGACTTGGCAGGTTCGTCCTGTCCCGTTCTGGTTGGTGCTGGCTGGTCTTTGCACCGATCGGGGCGGGGGCGGTTGGATTTGTTAATTTGGTCAACGCCTCGGCTGACAGTATCAAACCTAAAGGTCGAAGCAAAAGGGGTTTTTGGCTTCCCTTCAGAAAGACCTTTTTTCCTTAATGAATGCCCCTCGAATAAAGCCAAACCACCACTTTAAGACTATCTCCTTACGTTGTCGTGCGTACGGCTAGCCCGGGAATGCCCATGTTAGAACCCAAGTAATGGACGACTTAGCGCGCCTATTTAGATCATGGGCAAAGAGAGCAACCGTCCGAACAACTGGCCAGGCACGGGAGGGTCTCCTGAACTTGACTCTTGTTTTAACTTTGTTCGTGCGTATATGAATGCGAATGTTTAATAAATTTTTATCTATCTATCTATCTATATAAGCGGCGACGAGAACCATGGGGAGTCAGGGAAGTGACAGCAGCGACCGAGTTTAGAAGAGGGTAAACCCCGCGAGGCGGAAATCCGAGTTTTCCGTTTGTTATTGTTATTGTTTGTAAAGTTAACCTTAATTTAGGAGTTAGTTTGTTCCTGGAAAAGTTGGAAGCTGAAAAAAGAGTTTGATACCCGGCCATCCACGATACAATAGCATAAATATAAAAATACATAAATACTAAGATGCCGGGAAAATAATTTTCAGCATAAATCCGTGCTGTAGACATAAAGATTTCAGGAATACCCGCAGTCGAAGTCGAAAGATGTGGCTCAGTTTTAGGCCTGAAAATTATATATATGTGCATGTCGACCATATATAAATTACAGGAATATGTAGTTAATTTGTGCTCAAATTGTCGCTTGGTGTGTCTGCTACGGCAGATATTTTCCTTCTGCTCATTTTTCGGGACTTCAATACTTTAACTATTTTGCGACAAGGTACTGTAGTAAGGCCAAGACCTGTATAGGGCGTTTTTAAATAGTCCCATCAGGAAAATGACAACTGCATACAAAGGCACCAGGACCAGGATCTAAACAGTTCTCCTATAAATAATTTTCAAGTATAACATACGGTTTACTGTTCGATAAATATCGCAGCGTTTATGATAATAAATAAAAACGATGTGGTTATTATCGTAAAATACACTCCATATGGTCGGTTACAGAAGTGTGTTAGTTTTTGGCTAAAACTCTTTTGATTAACAGTGAACACCACCTCACAAATCCAAAACACATTTAAAATTACCCCACCTCAAAATAACCAGGGCCAAAAATCCATCATGGCCCCCCTTACCTGGGAATAGAAAACCGCTAATTATTGCGTTATGATTTCAATGTAGAATCGTTACTAAGACACTCCTAAATGCAAATACATACCTTAGAATGCTTCTTTTTCTTTACTGTTAAGATAATCAGCACACTTTGGACACTTCGTATCTAACTCCAATGCAAATTTGCTTTGCTTACATACAGTTATACTGAATATGTCTAATTTGTGACGTGGAGCATATTGAATCACACTATAAATTTCTCCATAATAAACAAGGTTAAAAAATTAGCTGAACCTAATAACAAGTGGTTAGATTACTTACCAGAGTAATTTCCACTGAATCACTAGAAATATTCACTAAAGGATAGTACAAAATACGCAGAGGAAAAGAGAATACAAAGAGTTGCCCGTACAAATCACATGCACACGGGATGTGTGGTTCCCGTGTTGGTCGTATGACATTGGAAGCGACTCGACGACATAATTGACTCACTAAACGGATGGTCAGCTAATCGTCAAATATTACGTCCGAATGTTTCGTCTTTTGTACGTCCGCAAATGACGTCTTTGTGTCTTCAGATATTCGTCCAATGACGTCCGAAACCTGAAATGCGCAATAAATAACGTTATATTAACGTCAAATACGTCATTGCTGCTCCCTGGGAAGTCCTCATTTCTGACATGGTCACGAAGACATACACAGAGTATTGATCTTTTCATCTTGCGTTGTGTTATTCTGAGCTTCTTAGCAGATTTGACCGGCAAAGTTAACGTTTCGGCGGCGTAGGTCATAACCAGTAAAACGCACTGATCAAAAACTTCACGTTTTAGACAAATTAGGAGATCCCAATTAAACAGCTCGAAGTCTGCCATACGCAGCCCAAAAAAGTGTAATTTTCGCTTTCAATTCGCATGTTTGGTTGTCTCTCGAGATTCGTATTTCATGACCAAGATATGTGTACTTATCCACCAGCTACACCACAGTCACTAGTAGTAATATTTCCACTAAGAACCATATTCGTCATAAATTTGACTTTTGATATATTATTTTTTAGCCCACCCTAAGCCCATACTTCCTGAAGGGGTCACAACATTTTCCTGATTTCTTGTAGGTTGTCGGACAGCAAAACGACAGGGTGATTCAAAATTGGCGTCATTCGTCTGGAGGTGTTGTCTGGCGCTGTTATAGGAGTACAGAAAAAATAGTAAAATAAATTAATTGTTATTAAAAACAGAGAAATATGCAAAAAACTATATCAGAAATACGGAAGCAATGTTTTTCAAGGAAATCTGCCTAATTAACATTGCGCACAAACCTGTGCCTTCGTTATTATTTAAAATTCCGGTAACCATAGAATTATACAGACTGACAATAAGATAGACAAGGATAAGCGGTAAATTCAACAAGATTTGTTGACGAAATGTCAACCTGTTCTCATAACCTCGAATATTGGTGTTTAATAATAAACCATACAACACCAAACATTTGAATGGTTAACTCCAAACAAGCTAGTGCCTGTGTAATCTACTTATTATTTACTCTTATCAAGCAGCTTCTCGTATTCAGTTAATTAACTCCTGCTCCATTGTATCTCCTTGTGCTGTATGTATCGTACAAACGTGGTAGGAATGTGGCCCTTCCTTGATATTTATTTTGTGCTTGGGAAAGTGTCAGTTATTGTGCTCTGAGTGCCCCTGGAAGGCCCTGATTCGATTATGTCCAATACTTGTTCCTCTGTGCCTGGAACCCG